GCGCGAGATTCTCCGAAGGGTGTAAATAGAGAGGAGAGCTGATCGGGATCACGTCGTCTGCCATGATGACTGTCTTATTGTCGCTACTGTCCTCGCCCTTCGTGCCCATGATGAATACGTGATATTAGCCTGGAACCTTACAGCTCTGATACCATGAAAATAGAAGGACACGATGATTTATGTGGTTTCATCGAAGATAGGGACTAGTCCACGTAGAGTATAGTTCTCAGTATGGGCTTCACTAGGTTTCTGTTGAAAGAACAGGAAGACATCGCTCAACCTGTCTTGAGTTTGAGTTCGACAGCAAGTAAACCTAAATACCCTTCCATAGACACTCATGTATTAGGCAAAAGTCCAAACACAGCAGGCAACAAATAAATATATACAAAATGGTCCAGTCCACGTCATTAGTCATTGGGCCCAGCGATCAATGCCACTCGTCGTGCATCACGGCGTCCTAGAGAGATCCGCATCATCATGTCTCCTCCAATTATGAATTGCCACCGCGATCCACATGGATAGCTTTGTATTTCAGAGATTAACTGGTGCTTCGCTTTGCCCTCCAGTGAACCACACCACAGTTTGCTTGACTATCCAGCGAATAGTCTCAAACTCTATTAGTTGGAAAACATATTTCAAAGTGTAGTATTGTAAGGTTTGTTGTTGTTGTAACCCTAGAATTTTACAATTTTCCTCCCTTCAATCCCACATACAGAAGCCCATACATAAACTCATCTTGTAGCCTATACAGTACGCATAGTTGAAGATATATTCATGGATTACACAACTCACCACGCCTACCTCATCTGCACTCCTCTGACTTCCGCTACCCCACACCAAAATTCTAACACTCTGTTTGGTTAATAGGGGAAGGGGCCAGGTGTAAATTATAGGGGTAAACACACTTCCAACAACTTTACTCATGTTTGGTTAAATTGTAATAGTAGGGGTGCAAAATGTAGGGTGTAAATTAGAGAGGTAAACCCAATTTCTAATCGGGGTGCACTTGCAAGGGACGAAAGGAGGAGGGGGAGAGGGGGGGGGGGGGGGGAGAGGGATTATGGATTTTTTTAAGTTTCAATTATATAATAACTAATATTATCAATTTTTATAGGTATTATTAATGTAGATGTTGTTCAGGTGTGACCATTTGGCTCTGCGAGCAAGTTTGTCATGGTTCGTCTAGTCAAATTAAGATCTCTTGGTTCGAATTTGCATTGAAAATTATAGAGAGTTTCTGTATGTCAAAATGTAGAGAAATGAACGGTTTAGTTGACTCAATTTACTTAACTAAATAGCTAAAACGTTATAAATTCGAACGTGTTTGACTAAGTTATACTAGATCCAATTTAAAGTTAAACTGGACACGAGAACCCTGTACGATAATAGTTATAATTAATTACTTTTTGATAAGCACTATTTAATAATTATTTTATTTAAGTATTTATTAGTGTATATGATTATTATACAAATCAAGATGCCCTCTTTTTCTTCTTTTTGTTGGTTTGTCCGACAACAATGTGGTGCAGAGTAGAGGATGATCAATGGTTTTTCTCGTCTCAGTTAGAAGAGAAGGGGGCTTTTGGGGAATATGAATAACTAGGATGTAGGGGTTAGCTGATAAGGAAAAACAATTAAGGGTTCTGAGTTTTTTTTAATATTTTTTGTCGAGTTTTGTTAAGCAATGAAACTGCTTATGTATCTATCTATCTATACATAATATTATGGCAATTCAAAAGTAATTTGTTGCCACATAAGCATTTGGAGAATTTATAAGGTGCTATGGTGTACACTTTTTTTTATAACAAAAAAAGTTAGTTAATGATCAATTAATGTAGATATATCTATCTTATTTTAATATTTTCTTTTTATTTTAATGATCATTTATGTAGCTATCTATATCTTCTTTTAATATTTTTTTATTCAATAATTATTTTTTGCAATATATATGTATAGCAGCAATATACGTATGTTTGGAGAGTGACATATATTGTAATCTTTTAACAAATATATTTGATTAAATCTGATCAATTAATTTTAATTTTAATTTTTATTAGAACTTAATACAGTGAAGTTTAAATAATCAACATTTAATAATCAATTGAATTTGAAAAACCAACTATATAATTTTATGTTTTGGTTATCAAACACTATCTTTTTCTAATGTTTGTATCTATTAATGAAAACAAGTATTAAACAGCAAAATGCTTCAAAAGTTGTTTTTCATTTAGATAGAAACATGACGAAGTCATAATATAGTACCTGATTGTACAAATGAAGGCGATAAAGAAAAACAAGTTTTCTTCTCTCTTATAATGCATGCTTCCATACCTTATTTTCTCTTACATTTGTTCATATTTCCCTTATTTTTCTTAATAGTTTACATATTTCGGTCAAACAAAAGTGTTAATTACACTTAAAAATACATTAAACTCTTTATATTTATATATGTATATTATGACATACTTTGAGTAAGAAAATGATATCTAGACCTTGAATTGACTGGAGTTTGGCATATGGTATTATTCTCAAACCCTTCAAGATTAAAATCTAGGTCTTAAATTTATAAATCTCATACCCTAAGATCAATTTAATTCTAAACAAAAATCAACGGTCATGCTTCGTCAAAATATATGCAACAAATTACATGCACAATCTTAGGGGTTAAGCTCTATGATTTAGATAACTAAGACATAGGGTTTACTCATCAAGGATTAGGGTATAGTATCATGCCCACAAATCCGGTTAATTTGTGGTCCAGATAGCGTATTCTTACTTAGAGTATAGTATCATGCTTAGATATTGACAATAGATGTGGCATTACACCAACAAAAAGAAGATATTAGTATAAGTTTAAGCAAATGCATCTTTGACAAGTTAGAAAATTATACACCAATGGACCATGTTAAGATTAGAACCCTCGACAGTGTGTGAGTATCTTGGACCGAGATTCTAAACCAACATCTAAACAACGATCATTAGTTGAGGGTGAGTCTAAATTAAACTTCAGGAATTAACAATTGGTACATATTGTATAAGATATTAAATTGAGTGTCTTGATCGACAAATATAATCTTACAATAAGACAGTAAACTTTCAATTGGGATGACCAAATTTACCTAATATTGAAGTACCTTTATAAAAACATTCTAACTAAGTTGTCGTCATCTGAGCAACATCATTGGTTGAGAGTTTGTCCAAACTCGAGATTCATTGAATGACATATATTGTATAAGATAAAATTTTTTGAGTATCGTTGTTTTAATTTATAGACGCACCACATACTCACGCATTTGAGTATCGTGATATATCTTTGTGACATGATTTATGATCAAAGAATTGAAACATCATAAGTGAACGTGCTAAGCATTGAGAATTTTTAATTTACAGACGCACCGCATACTCACGCATGAATGCAAATGTAAAAAATGTAGAAGATCCAAAATAGTTTAAAGATATAGATAAATTGATTAATTGATTAATATAAATGATAAAATGAAACTCACCGGCCAACAGGCCGGGTAAAAAGCTAGTATGTGATAATAGGGATTAGGTGTCGTCACGTCATTACCGTTAGCACTTTGTCACTGCTGCTAAGATGATATCAGTAGGGTTGGAACAGAAGTAAGGGATGCTGATCTTTTATATAAGTTCAATAGTTTAGTTGAATTAAAAATGAGTCTAAGTGGTAAGATGAATAAATAGAACAAGTGCAGTGACCAATGATGACTTTCACCCCAAAGTAGACCTGACAATTGGGTCGGGTTGTGTAATTTTGGGTTAGGTTTTAGATTATGGATCGGGTCAAGTCGGGTTGACCGATTTTGGGTCAAATATTGACCCAATTCATTCGGTTTCGGCTCGGGTTACGGGTCATTTCGAGTTATGAGCGTTCTCAGAAACAATATCAAACATGCTTCATATTTTGTTTAGGAACACAATCTTCACATATGCATGGCGTTATCTAAGAGATGTCAATTAACATATTCTCAAATCCTCCCATGCTAATGAAATGAAATAAAAAAAATCATCAAAAAACAATCACAAGAGAAATACTACTACAAGAGACGCATGATATTTGATTGTACTTAAGCTCCAAACATGTATTTCGAATCCTTGTGAATTTTTTTAAACATCTCACCAATTTATGATTGATTTTATCATTTTGGGAGTTACATATGAAATGTACTGGGTCTAACGGGTTGACCCGCTAACCCACCCAACCCGACACAAAAAATGACGGATTAATCGGGTTCGGGTCATTCGGGTTCTGGGTTATAAAAATTCCTATTTTTTGGGTGAGTTCGGGTCGGGTCAGCGGGTTGGGTTGTAATTTGCCAAGTCTACTACCCAAAGTGATCTATCTACCTGATTATCTCCAAGTTAGTAACTAATTGTATCTCCAAGTGATCTTCAAAGTCCAGATGACCAGGTTTGTCAGTCTTGTTGCTACTCTCTAAATGTTTTCCAGTGATTAGGAGGTTTGGTTTCTCCAAGTGGATAGTAAGGGAAATTTCTTGGCTGATTAGCTTCCCAAACTGAGACCCCTTTGGGGAATGCTCCTTTATCAGACTATCCAGCTCAGTGCATATGAAATTTGGGTGAAGATTTTTCAAAAACATATACCTACAGACATGAATGGTTGGTTGCAGCTCTCCATCTCCTCTCACTCTCGGTTGCTATAAAAGAACACATATAGTGGTGTATTGGCTTTTCTCAGTCAGGGTTGCGAATGAGGTAATTCAATACTTCTCGTGAAAGAATCTGATGCATTGTGGACCAGAAAAGTTTTGCAATTTCAACTTTGCCCAACTCTCGAGATGACAGAGGCCTGCTGGAAAATGATGGCCGAGTAGGGTAAAACATCAATGAAAAACAGGGGTTCCAATGTGATTCTTTCCTTCTCCAAAGATTCCCCTTGTTTTAGCATCCGGAAAGAAGCAGCCCTGGAGAGCAATAATTTCACCTTATAAAACAGCATAGATTGAAGCTCTCCATAAGGAGGCATTGGAGCGGGGCCAGAGTTAAGCTCCATTCTAATTTTTAGCTTGCTCATTCATCCGACCAAAACCATCTCTTTTTTCCCCTGTTTCTATTCTAGCCTCCCTGTTCTCTCTGCCTCAACTGTTTTGTTTTCTCTCTTTCCATGCTCCTTGACAAAATGCGGGCTGACATATCTTCTTGGATGTGCTTTCTGTTCACGTTAGCCGTGATACTCGCCGCGGTTTCTCCGTCGTCGTCGACAGTGAGCTTCTTAACTACTAATGTTCTCCATTGGGAGATGACGCGGCTTCCTAACATGGATCAACTCAGAGCTCAGGACCGAGCCACGCATGCCCGTCTGTTTAGCGGTGTCCCCAACTTATATGTCTTCGGATCCGCCGTTCCCGACCTCTACGGGTAACGTTTCTTCACCGGAGTTTTCTGCTTCTGTTTTTTCTTTTCATTTTTAGCGGCAAAAGATGGGGCACAAAGCTCGTACAGTATGGCGTCGTCCTGTGTCTAGAAACGTTATGCTCTTGGTTTTCTGCTTGTATTTGATCCTTCACGGTTACCTTTCTTCCTGTTGTTAATGGTTAATTACTAGATACTTGGATTCAATGGTTTCCTCGTAATCTTGTTGGGTTTTGGTTTTTGGCAGGATTTACTTCACGAAAGTCAAGCTGGGCTCTCCTCCTCAAGAGTTCAGCTTGCAGATAGATACGGGCAGTGATCTGCTTTGGGTCAACGCCAAATCTTGTGCTAACTGCCCACGCTCCAGCAGTTTCACGGTGAGTGGTTCTTAGACTTATTGTTGTCCTAATGGCTTTGGACCAAATTCATGAGAAGAATTGATAGTTTTTTGGTTGTCAAAAGTAAAAACCTAGAATGCAACGAGATGTAGTAGGGGATGACTGTGAGAAATACTTTTGAAACTCTAGTAGAAGCATTCTAATCAATGTGCTAAAAAAGAAACGATTTGTTGAAATTTTAGATTATTGATGTTGTGGTCTCACCATCCGCGACTCGTATAACAAACGAGGGATGCCAGTGTTACTTAATTTGTTCCAGGATTGACATTCTACTATAAAATGAATAGTTCAACGATAATGTTTCATATATCGCATTGTGAACTTAGAATGTCTTTCTTCATGCCATGCAGTGTATCTCAAGTATTTCCTGTATCGAGCTTTAATTTTGCCAACCACGCTTCTCTCATATTAAAACCAACTGGCCACCTTCATCGATCCTTTGTAAGTTGATATCGTTCTAACTTTGGCTTTCTGATTCTTTTGTCTTAAATTCATGAAATTCACTTGTGTTCTACTTCATTGTAGATGGATTGGTGAAGAAGCCAGGAGTGACTATCTTAGGAGGTTATATATATAATTTTGTTAAAAAAAGCTCGAATGTCGTCCTTCAATAGATGTCTTGCAAAACACCAAACTAATTGGCTGATTAAGAATGTTCTAACTTTGATTGTCGTGTCTTGTTCTAATGTCCTGATCTTGTTCTAAAAGACAAGATTTTCGTGTACGATTCGATCCATCACTAGATTGGATGGACCAACTACAAGGGTAAGTTCAATAAAACCGTCATACATGTATCTTGACTTCCTTCGCTTGTTCCTTTTTGTTTCAACTAGTATCGTTGATTGGCTACTTGCTTCTCTCCTCATCCAGGCTTGAAGGAACCAAATGTCTCTGTTCCTAAACAGCCAAGCTAAAGTTGTTCTACTGACATGCTGTTGATGTTGCTGCCTCTAGCAATATGCACCATTCTCTTCTTACAAATATCACCGGTGATTGAGATCAAGACAATGTAACTTATTGTTCATTATGAGGGAGATTGGTATTTTAGGTATCTTATCCATGTAGCATCTATACATTCTCTGAACGAGATTATCATTGATTTATTCCTCTTCGTTACCCTTATTCGTGGCCTTGTTATGGTGTGAGCTACTAATGAGACAGGAGTGTGCCATTTGGCAGGGTGTGATAGTAGTACAAATAAAACATTACCTTGTTTATGATTTAGATTAGAAAAGAATGTCATTTCTGATTTCTGATTTTTCACTTTGAAATAAACAGGACTATATGACTATACCCCATCCGCATCTGACGATAGGTCGTGTCATATGCAAATTTCGTTCACATAATTCGTGTGAGGAAGGTCGGCGCTCCCGCTTTAGAGCGCGAAATCGGGCATTTAAGGGAAATTTTTGAAAAATCGCGAATTATTATCAGTTGGAGCGCGGATTATTAGGAGAAAATCGTTGACTTTATTTTGACAAAAAAATCTTCTGAAACTAATAAACTTAAAGAGTTCTTAAACCACACAAAGGAATCACCTAGGAGAAGACAACTAATTTGGGAGATCTTTCTTGTGAAATCGAAGTAATAGGAAAGAAAGCACGTAGACATCAACATGTACAACCCGAAGATGATGAGTTGCTGGCTTGTTGCTTGAGATTTGGAGAGTAAAGAAACAAGACAGAACTGAAGTTTTCAACAAATAAGAAATTCTATTAATTGCTCTTGTTGCCTTGATATTTACATGCATGGGTTTGTTGGTTGATCTGATACTCACCGGCGAAGAGCAGATCTAACCTTTTAACAGGGGAGGCAGGATTCGACGGAGTACAATCGAATTGAAAAAAATTGAATCAATAAAGTGAGGATATGGTGCGGTCTACAAATTCTTCAATATGCTAAGAGAATTTTCAGTGTTAGACTCTTAAAAAGATTGGGAACAGAAAAAAAGTAGTAGAGAAATTAGAAAGAGAGAGAACACTTGGCTAGAAATTTGGGGAAGAACAATGAAAACGAGAGAGACGATGGGGTATTTGGGAAAGTTTTGGGGTTGTTGCCTGTTGGGGGTAGCGAATAGTGATAGTATATACTACTTTTCCCAAAAAAATATATATATATAATGATAATTTAAATAATCAATCCTAGGATTGTAAAGAAATAATAATCCATATGCTGCATTTGCTATTTTTTTGTTGTTGGTTTGATTAGTAATTTAAACGGTAGAACTTCCCTTTTTCACATTATTTTTTTCTAGGAGTTGTGCCAGTATTTTATCATAATTAATTGATATATTAAATAATATTTTTGTTATAATAATATAATATTCACGCTTTTTTGTCGCTCTTAATATTTAATTCCTGAACAATAGCCACGCTCGCTCCCGCTCTCGTTATTGCTTCACGAATCGATAACCTAAATACAAATGCATATGGAAAACCTATCTTCTTCTACCTCTCATTCAAATTTGTCCTATTTGCTCTTATCCAAATATCAGCTCCATCAATATTGAATTATTGATAGTCTTGTAGTTGTTGTTGAGATATAGGGTTTTAATGTAAGGGCCTTTGGCTCATGGGGTGTCTCGGCCCACAATGTAATGCTGAGAATGATCGTAGCATTCGGCTAGGGTTAGGGTATAGCTTCAATGATGTATAAATATATATCTGTGTATACGTATGGGGGCAAGGAAAATAAGAAAAGTAAAAAGCTTCCCGTGGACTATGTCTTGCTCACAACGAACAAGAAAACCACGTAAACTCGTCTCGATTCTATTCGTTTGCTTCGGCTATTGTTAATCTTGTGTCTATTATCAGTTGTACGCCCCTCCACTGACCTGTAGATTTGTAACGTACCTTAATTATGTCACTTGGGAATAACTTGATCGATCTATTAAATTAAATTAAAAATATATAAAGTATATACATTGACCATCCGCCCAACAGGCGAAACATATTTCCACAAAAAAAACCAAAGACCATATTCGAGCAAAGACTGGAAACAGGCTCATGATTGAAAGATTACAAAATTATGGTACTCATGCATCCAGAGGTCTCGTCAGAACTAGAAATGCTTTTACTCGTCCATTCTATGACTGAATTTGAGTGTTATATATTATGGACACTAATTTTGTCTCAATCACTTTCTTAATTCACCTCGTTCTGTATATATACGATCAATCTCATCACCTCTTCCATTCATCAACCACTTAATCTTCTTACCCAACACACAATCAACCAAAATTAGTGAACTCATAATTGAACATGGCTTCTCCAATCACCACAACGATGGCTCTATCACTTTCACTGACACTAACCCTCCTCACACTGGTCAACGCTGAAGCCGCCGGGGGCTTCACCGTTGACCTAGTCCACCGCGACTCCTCCAGCTCACCATTCTACGACCCCCTCGAAACGCCAGCTCAGCGCATTCGAAACTCCCTCAAGCGATCCTTCAGTCGCGCCCAAAGATTCAGCGCCGCGATGGCCACGTCATCTCCAACAATCACTTCCCGTCGTCGCCGCCGTGGCGGCGCCAACTCGCCGTTGACCGCCAGCGACGGGGAGTACCTCATGAACATCTCCCTCGGCACGCCGCCGTTTCCAATCGTCGCGATCGCCGACACCGGCAGCGACCTCATATGGACGCAGTGCAAGCCTTGCACCAACTGCTACAAGCAGAACGCCGCCGTTTTCTCCCCGAACTCCTCCAGCACCTACAAAATGGTGCCGTGCCAGTCCAGCGCGTGTGATTCGCTCCAGAGCGAAGTAGGAAGCTACTGCTCATCAAACGACGGCGTTTGTCAGTACGAAGCGAGCTACGGGGACCAGTCGCACACCAAGGGGGACGTAGCCGTCGAAACTCTCACGCTGGGGTCCACTGCCGGTCCCCGCCGCCACGTGGCGTTCCCGAAGATGGTGATTGGGTGCGGGCATGATAACGCGGGGACGTTCAGCCCGAAGGGTTCGGGTATTGTCGGACTCGGGGGCGGGTCGGTTTCGCTAGTGACCCAACTCGGGCCGTCAGTTGGCGGGAAATTCTCCTACTGCCTGGTTCCGTATTCCGCGGCCGCGGAGGCGACAAGTACGCTGAGTTTCGGGCAAAGCGCCGTCGTTTCGGGGAAGGGGGTCGCTACCACGCCGTTGATTCCCGATCCGTCCCAGCCGACTTTCTACGTCGTTCAGCTCGAAGCGGTCAGCGTGGGGAGCAAGAAGATTCCCTTCCACGGCTCCACCGTCGGCGAGACATCCAGCGGGAACATCATCGTTGACTCCGGTACCACGTTGACCCTCGTCCCGACCGATTTCTTCACGCAGCTATCGAGCGCCGTGGAGAGCCAAGTCACCGGCAGCAATAAGACGCCCGACCCTCAAGGGTATTTGAGCCTGTGCTACGTGGCCGGGCCGAAACTCAAGGTGCCGTCGATCACGGCGCATTTCAAGGGAGCTGACGTGGCGCTGACGGTGGAGAATGTTTTCATCAAGGTCAGCGACACGGTGGCTTGTTTGGCGTTTTATGGTAACGACGACGTGAGCATCTACGGGAATGTTGCGCAGCAGAATTTCCGGGTTGGGTATGACCTTCAGAAGCACACTTTGTCCTTCAAGCCCACGGATTGCACCCAGAAGGTTTTTTAGTTGATGATTCGCGAAATCACATTTGTTTGACTGTTCATTTGGTCATTTATTATGTTTATCAATAATTCTGGGACCACGAGATGTATTTTGTGTAAAATTTTGTATGAATAAATAAAGAATATCACGGGAAGCTAAGGTGAGAAGGATTAGCGTAGAAAGTTGGAGTATACAGTCTACTAGTCAATGTTATCAATCGGTTTCAATCGTTGTCTCGATCTAGAAAGTGAGTCTAAAGAAGTGGGAAGACCAGACCCGATTTTGTGTCGGTGAGTTACACAACACAGTATCTCAACTTTTTGGCGCCTCATAATCCATGAGTCCATCTTATTAAATGTAATGAAAATTTAATGGATAACTATAATTGTCTAACACTGTAAAAAGATTTGGCTATTTTATTGAATTTCATAATGATTTGGCTATTCCTGTCCACAACTTAATTGGTTTGGCTATTTTTGGGCATATACCCAAAGAAAAATTATATTGAACTTGTACTTTCTCCTTGGTTTTTAGTACTCACGTTAGTTGACAACAAAAAAGAAAAACACGGAATGATAAGTCCTTTAGTATTATACTAATATTTAGTTGCCGATGTGGGAGAGTATGACTCTAAGCAAAATGATGTTGTTTTAGTGAACTTAATTAATAAAAAATTAATTTATTTCATGAATTTACAACTCAAAAATTGATGTTATTTGTTGGATTAGAAGCAAATTGTCATGAAATATGTTTTATTATGATTAAATTCATTGAGTTTAATGATTTTCACATTTTCACGTATTTTGTTAAACTGTTACAAATCGATTATACCACCAGTAGTACCATTTCACTTGTCAAACCGACTGTAAGAAACCGATTCGACAACCTTGCCCATAATAATACTAAACCGGGCGTGAAACTATCCGTCGTTAGTTTGACAAACTAACCAAGTGTCAGGAAGAGAAGTTTATTGGATTAGCTGCCTAGTGCCTCGCTTCAAAGGGAGGGATCAGGACAAGAAATTCCAACAGTTACTTTGGTTACTGTGAGAAGAATCTTAGAGGCACTTCTGCCGTTCTGCGTCTTCTGATGCTCTTGTTGTTATGTAGATACTGGATTCATCCATAAATTCAAGAACAAAAGTTTGAAACTGAAACTACTTAGTACTTACCCGCCCCCGATGCAGATTGCAGACGATAACTTTTCCCTCGAATTGCCACTCTTATTCTCATAAATCAGCATCTTTCTCAATCATTTGACCCCAATAACTCGTGTTGTTATGAGCAATATAGTCAAAATCACGCTTTAATTATGCACTTATACGCTTTTAGATCACCAGAATACATCTACATATAGAATCGATCTGCAATTTGTGCAATAATGTAGTCAAAATCACAGTTTTAAAACCTTACGTTTTTATACTCCTAGGTGACCAAAATGCTTCTATATAGAAGCACATTTTTGAATGCATTGGTTGGGGGAAGATTGTTATGGATCTGTAACTCTTACACTATCCCTAAAAAACGACAGCCAAGTCGATCACAAGTTTGAAGTTTGCACATGCCCACCATACCTTGCATTTTAATAAACTGTTTATACTGGGGTCGTATAAATTCCAACACAAGCGTTCTTAACCAAACCAACACTACTTATACTATATATATATATATATATATATATCCAGTTAATCTCAATAACTCGAATTATTAATAAAAAAGTTCACATCCATTGTATACCCTATATAATAGGCCTTACTCCCACATAAACAAGAACCATCCATCCATCCACCCAACCAACATTCATTTCAAAGTATGAGGAGTCCAATTTCCATTCTACTCTTGGCTCTCATTATCGCCAGCAGCCTCAGCGGCCTCGACGTTGATGTGGAGGCGAAACCTCAAACTTGTTCACCGAGCGGCAAGCTCCGAGGCAAGAAGCCTCCGCCAAAGAAATGCAATCGGATCAACAACTCCGAGTGCTGCGTGGAGGGCAAGCTGTACACAACGTACAAGTGCTCGCCGACGGTCACCAGGCAGACCAAGGCGGTCCTCACCCTCAACAGCTTCGAAAAGGGGAAAGATGGCGGCGGGGCGTCGGAGTGCGACCACAAGTTTCATGGGGACGAGGAGCGGGTCGTGGCGCTGTCGAGCGGCTGGTTCAACAACAGGAAGAGCTGCTTTCAGAAGATCAAGATTACGGCGGGGAACGGGAGGAGCGTGGTGGCGAAGGTGGTGGACGAGTGCGATTCGACGGAGGGCTGCGACGGCGAGCACGATTACCAGCCGCCGTGTCCCAACAACGTCGTGGATGCTTCCAAGGCCGTGTGGGATGCGCTCGGGGTGGCTTCTGGGGAACAGGGTGATTTGAAGGTGACATGGTCGTTTGTGTAATTTGGATGTGGCTTTTGTTCCATGTGAGTTCTTCTATTTGTGTTGTTGTTGTTGTTGTTTTGTGGTCTCGTGTCTTTCTAGCTTTTTTCTTCTTCTTTCGTGTCCTTAATTTATTGTCCGTTAAGGAAATAATCTTTGTGTGATACCATCGGGTATTTTTGATTTCTTAAACATTTCTATTTGACTTCTCGTATGTGTTGTATACCGATTAATCATCAATAAAACAATTGTATTTACTTGTGCTCTATAGTTGGTATGTCGATTTCGTTGAACATGAATATATATTTATTCATAGTCATTAGGAGTTGTAATTGGGATTTAGGAATCGATGATAACCAGTTCCTAGGGTGTTGTGTTGTTTCTTGAGCTTCAAGTTATAAGTTTGTATGATATCCGTTAGCGAACTAACCATCTGGTAGCAATAATTTGAGTTTACAAACTTTTCATTTGTACTGTGGTAACTTATTGAGCCCTGGGGCAATTTCATAGAGATCTCGTCATCTAGAAAACGATTCAAGAATGCATTGCTTCAATCCATTTGATGTTAGTGCCACTGTTTGGCTACTGCTAAACCAATAAAGAGCTTCATAGAGTTCTGTTTGGCGCTACTCGGGAAAAAGTGTCCCAGAAATCAATCCCGTGAACTTGGGTATATCCATTTGCTACCACTATGGCCTTTAGTCTTTCAACATCTCCATCTAGTTTAAACTTGGTCTTGTAGACCAACTTTGACCCTATTGCAACCTTGCCCTCTAGTAGATCAACAATCTTCCAAATTTTATCCTCTTTTAGTGCACTCCATTATTCATTCATTGGCTTGTTCCACCTAGGGCCAGTGCAAGCTTTTGCATAGGTTTGAGCATCTGAGATAGTGGTAATGTTCAAGAGCAAATGTTCTAAGAGAAGGAGAACGTGTTTGCTGAGAGATGTTTAGATATGGGGTATGGCATATCAGGCTCTAAGTCCTTATTGGTAGTAGTAAGAAGATTGCGATGAAAGCCCCTAAACTTCCTAAGGGCAATAGGGAGTGAACCTGAACTTTGAGATGGGGATGTATGTGTGATTAGGGCTCATGGTTGATGGTGACGATGTTGTTGGTGTTGTTAGAGGTGAAAAGGGTGTGTAATCTCATTCATTGGTCTGATGGACATTGTTATCAGGTGGAAAAATATTTTCAGAATCATCACTCTAGGAGGGACAGGGTTGCTCTTCTTAGTCTGTGGAGTTGCTTCCTTAGAACCCTTTTCTTTGCAGGGGAACACCATTTCATGGAACTTCACATTCCTACTAATAAACACTTTGTGTTGTTCCGTGTCATACACTTTATATCCTTTGATTCCAAAGGGATATCATAGAAAGACACACTTCTTTGCTATTGGTGTAAACTTGATCTTATGCTCATCAGTATTTGTTGCATAAGCCAAACATCCAAAGACCCTAAGGTCACTATCATCTGGTGAAACTTCAAATAGCACTTCACATGGTGTTTTGTCCTTTAAAATATGACGGGGAATCCTATTAATCATAAATGCAGCATGTAAAATGAAGCAACTCCGGAAACTAATTGGTAAGTTACTTTGAACCTTCAATGACCTTGCAACATTCAGCAAGTGTTGATGTTTTCTTTCTACTCTTCCATTATGCTGAGCAGTTCTGACACATCTCATCTAATGTATTATTCCATGAGTTTGGTAAAAATCTGGCATACAGAATTCCTGTTCTTAGCCAGTTCTTATCACCTTAATGTTTTTGTGAAACTGATTCAATGTCATAGCACAAAAGGACTGAACAAGGTGTCTAGCTTCAGACTTGTTAGTCATCATAAAAAGCCATACACATCAACTGCAGTCATCTTGCACAATTAAGAAGTATTTGAATCCATCAATAGAAATCACATCCACTCGTCCCCAAATGTCAATTTGAACAAGGTCAAAATAGCATTACTAGTACCAGAGCTCTTATTAAAGGGTAATCACTTTTGTTTTTACAAATGACAAACCTCATAGTGTTTTGATAAAGGTAAACCTATACTATCAACGTCTTTGTGTAATTCCTGTAATATAGACAATAATGGGTGCCCTAATCTCATGTTTCATAAGTCTGAGTCTTTATGAGTGCTCTTTGAATTGGTGGGAAGAAATTTGGAATGGGATGACTGACTCCTGGAATCTCCCAATAAGTAGAGACCTTTAGTGACTTGGATTGAACCAATCCTCTGTCGTGAGGCAAGGTCCTGGATAAAACAGAATTGGAAAGTAGTGAGACTGTTGAATTTTTTGTAAACTAACTTATGAAAATGAGATTATAAGAGAAGGTAGGAACTATCAAGACATTAGGAAGCAAGATTCCACACTTTAATTTACCTATACCAATGTGAGTTGCAGTTGTTTATTCTCCATTAGGTAGTGTTACTGTAATGCCCTGAACAGGTTTACACCAAAGGAAAAAAGTGATTTCACACACTATGTGGCCACTTGCTCCGGTATCTAGGACCCGTAGTCCCTCGTCATACTCATTTTGGGATGAAGAGAGAGTAATACTACATGTCATTGGTGATTTGCAATGGTTTTTCACTGTCATTGAGTTAGCCTGGATGGGTGAAGAGTGCATTTTGGGTGAGCTTGGGACAAATCCAAAGGCCTGACGAAGTGATAGATGATTAAAGAAATGCCTCAGCTTCCCCAATTGCTCAATGATGACTCGATATTTGTACATGTTTTCCCCTTTGTTTCTTGATCATTTAAGCTTTCATTATCGCTTCTTTGGCCTATTTTATGCTAGGTTGTGTTCCTTTGTCACATTTTAGGTCCTAGCACATAAAGTGAAGCATAGGCGTAAGTTTCAAGTCAATCAGAGATCAATTGGCGATTAGGGAGAAGAAACTCGGGCATGACCTGAAGAAGAATGGATTTCTACCTCACTTTATGGACAAAGAATCATGCAAGCTTGTCATGAAAATAAAGAGGACGAGACTACGAGCGTCTGGGATCAAACGGCAACTGACGGAGTCCGGACGAGGGAGAAACGAAACATTGAATATAGGGGAATAGGTTCGGCAGTAAAAACACAGGCGCGCCGAAATCAAAACACGAACGTGTCCATATTTAGGCACGACAGTGTTTTGGCCGACGCGCGCGGGCATGTTTTTAACACAGGGCAAAACACGGGCTGGTAAAACCAAAGCACGGCCGTGCCCTCGACCGTGTTTATCCCAGAATCAGGTTTTTTAGGTAGACTGAGGCCAAAGGAAAGGGAGAGCTGGGTTTTGGATCCCAAACACCCAAGGGACGAACCCTAGAGAGAGAGAGCGACTTGGGAACATTCTTGGAGCTATTTTGGAGGATTTCTTCGCCATTGGAGCTCGGGAATCAAGCTTGGAGATGGAGATTGAAGATCTATATCAGATTTCTGCAGTCTCTCTCTTCTCTATGGAGTAACTTCCCTTCACTTAGGTTTTGAGGAACCCTAGCTATGTTTGTTTGATTGGATGATTGTTGAATACTCTGACTTGATAACCTTGAGTTCATATTCAATCTATGCATGTTTTCATGATTCAATTCTGCTTTAGTCGAGATTATTGATTCTGCTTTGATCCTATGAGAGCGAATACCTGATTAGGTCAATAGAGCACCATAGATTGATAGTAGTGGATCGATTGCTTTAGTCGAGAGTTGATTCACTGCTTTGTATCGATTGAGAACCTCATTCGATAGAGGGAATCTAGTTTAGAATGCCTTGATCGGTTGTTCTAGAGAAGGATACGTCCCTCTAGGCAATTGACTCAAGAGGGCCTTGTTCCTTTAGTCGAGACTCAAGGTCTAGTCAAGGATTCTCCGCATTGTGAATGAAAGTGAAACAAGTTAGAAATCATCAATCGTTAATCTGGCTAGTGGCTAGGGGGAATCATACCTAAGTGAGTTCCCAACCTGTAATTAGATTAACTTTAACTGTAGTTTGCTAGAGTAGTTTTAGTTCTTCCGTATTAATCTGGTTTGCTAAATAATAAACTGAAGCTGAGTAATAGTAACTCTAGAGACCCGTGGATTCGATATTTATTACTTGAGCCACTATACTGCAGTCCCTTCCATTGGTTACACTTGGCCATTGTTAGGAGTTGTGTCATAGCGAGTCAAGTTTTTGGCGCCGTTGCGGGGGACTTTCTAGAGTATTAGGAAAGGCAGAAGTTTGTTACTTTAGCGTTTTTCTTTTCTTTTCTTTTCCACCCTTGCTTTTCACTTGGGTGTTTTTGTTTTTGTTGGTGCATATCTGAATAATGGATCATCATGGCTTCTCCAACAATTGGGGGTATCCACCACCACCCGAGTGGTATTACCCCGAGACTCCCTGGAGCAATCAAGGAGGAGAACACTATGGATTCGGGTTTCAGTACCAACCCCCTTACTACGGAGAACAACCGGACCCCTGGGCATATCAAGAACAACCTCATTACCAAGAAGAATTTCTCCCACAACCAGAAGGGTCATCGGCGCTGGAGTTACCCATGGCGGCCTTCACGGGCCATTCTGCGGAGCCATGCTACACTCCACAGCCAGATCCAAACTATGAATTGAGGCTTCTCATGGAACAGTTTGCTCGAGACAGTGAGAGAACATGCTCCGGGATGGATCATTGTGTCCAGGCCTATCGTGCAACAGAGGAGATCCTCCTGAGCCTTAAGAAGAGCATCGATGATCTTGAGCGATCTTGTGCACAACCTGCTCCTGATCACCCTTCTGCTACCATACTAGAAGAGGAGGAGGAAGAAGAAGGCTACAAGGACATTGTGGAGCAAACAGAGATTATCACGGAGAGCTCCCATGAAGATCATGATCAAGAATGTCCTATCGTAGCTGACCACACATTCCCACATCCCAAACTGAGCTTTGAAGAGGCGGGCATGAGTGAGGAGATGCAAGAAGATCTCATGAAAGAGGAAATATCCTGATTTTTATTAGGTAGTAGGTTTAGTGTATGGCTGGGGTTCTCCAAGATAGTTGTTGGTAAGTTGGGTGACATGAGACTTTTGTTTTTTCCCATTTACTAACCCTTGTAGGCTATGTCGATCAAGCTAGATAATTATAGGCTTTTCTTTTCTTTATTTGGAAACTTGCATAATTGTGGGCACCACTCGATGGGTGTAGAGAATTTTGGATTAGTAGCTTTCACACGCCTTCTTAATCCATAATTCACAGTTGTGAATTTTTATCACCCATGATGCACGAGAATGAAATCTTACT